ACTACTAGTACACTGATATTTGTATACTTACTACATAAAGTATACTTAAAAATATACTTCAACTTTACTTAAGTATACTTACTAAAATAAACTTGAAATATACTACATTTTGGTAAGGGTACTGATGTTTGTGGTGTTTATAAGAGGGATGCTGGTCTCTAGACCTATAATAACTTCACAGCATGCTACAAAGATTTGTGTTTAGTCATTTTGTTGACATGTTCATGTTTTGCATCAGTAGTTGGTCAGATGATAAGAAAAAAAAATGCTGCAGAAAGACCAATGCATGAAAATCCTCTCATCATTTACTCACCCTCATGCTGTCCCAGATGACTCTCTTTCTTCAGATAAACACAAATGAAGATTGTTTATGAATTATTTCCATCTCTGTGAGTCTAATGCTAGTATAATGGACCTCTACAGGTGACCACACAACATGACAGCAATTCACTCGACCCCAGCTGATGAACCAATGTTCAAACACAACGATAGGTGTGTGTGTAAGACAAACAGTTAAACACGTTCTTTACACTAACAATCACTTCTAGTGATATGTCATACAACTGAAATGAACCTGTTTCTGTAAACTTGCCTAAGGTTTGTTACATAACATGCTTTCTGGAGAAGAAAAAAAAAGCAGACACAATTATTCCTGACAAGAGATGTCAACAATAGTCTGCAAACATCCTTAATCAATATCCCTTCCCTTAATAATAATAATAATAATAATATGATTAGTGACAGGTTAACTTTCTATAGCAATACCAATGTCCTTGGCCTTCTAAATAAGTTAATTAAATATTGATTATAATTTTTTTATTTTTATTGTTTTTGTCCTAAAGCCATCTCATATTTACATGTAGGCCTACATTTTTACATTTCACTAGCACACTATACAAATAGGCAAAATTAACCCCAATAACTAACATTTCTGAGCTCATAATATCAGTTTAACCATCTCCAACGATTCTGAAAACACAAGCTGTTTGCAAGAGTGCCTAAGATCAACAGATGCTGTTTATCACTGATCTACAACCCTTTAATGTGCTTGCTTACACGTCGTGAGGCAGAACTCAATCGTCTGAGTGTAAATTCAGGATATCAGTGATAAAGCCGAGGCATTGGGACGTCTGTTTATATTATGACTCGTTCTTTGAAATCGGTTCCTTTTGATGAGTCGATCGAACCGAGTGAAGATTCGAAACTCGGAGATCGAACCGAATGAAGATTCGAAACTCAGAGATCGAACCGAGTGAAGATTCGAAACTCAGAGATCGAACCGAATGAAGATTCGAAACTCAGAGATCGAACCGAGTGAAGATTCGAAACTCAGAGATCGAACCGAATGAAGATTCGAAACTCAGAGATCGAACCGAGTGAAGATTCGAAACTCAGAGATCGAACCGAATGAAGATTCGAAACTCAGAGATCGAACCGAGTGAAGATTCGAAACTCAGAGATCGAACCGAATGAAGATTCGAAACTCAGAGATCGAACCGAGTGAAGATTCGAAACTCAGAGATCGAACCGAATGAAGATTCGAAACTCAGAGATCGAACCGAGTGAAGATTCGAAACTCAGAGATCGAACCGAATGAAGATTCGAAACTCGGAGATCGATCCGAGTGAAGATTAGAAACTCGGAGATCGAACCGAGTGAAGATTCGAAACTCGGAGATCGAACCGAGTGAAGATTCGAAACTCGGAGACCGTCTTGAAATGAAAAATAAATTCGTGAACGAGACGCTTTAACAGCTGTTAAAAGAGAACAACGGTAAATAATTACAAATAAAACATGCTTAGCTAAATCGATTTATGTGATGAATAAATCTAAACATTCAAGTGCGCTGTAATTTAAAAATCAGTTTTTAAACGTGTTTTAAAAGCACAATAAAATAAAGAAGAAGGTAAAGACTTTATGGTAATTCAATGTCATGTTATTCCATCTTGCTAGCCTGCACAGAATCCTTTCTTGTTTTTTCGAGCAACATTTAAGCGTTTGTTGTGAGTTGTAAAGACCCGGATGGACTATGGTCACAAACATGCTCTTTTTTAATAATCTACCGTGAAATGTTAATATAATTAATTTCTTCGTTCACCCGCTGTTTGTGCGCAGCGCAGTGGCATGTATGTCCAGCAGGAGGCGAAGTGCGACTGTTGAACGTTCAAACACGCGCCGAAGAAGAAGCTGCTTCTGTCACAACATCCGGCAAACGTCATCGTGCTGATTTTGTGTTATTTTAAGGTGAGTGATTAACTGCGTTTGCCTCCTTTTTTAAAAATGATTTATTATGACTTATTCAACTTAAAACCAACATTTGCTCATATCGCTGTGGATTATAATTTCGCTGTGTAAAAATTACGCTTCACGTGTTTTTAAAAGAATAAATGGCTGATCAACAAGTTAACAGTTTTATGTTAATATATGATAGCGAGTAGTTATTAATATGCTTAATGCTGTTTTGCCCTTCTGTATGTTTCTCTCATGTTCTTTATATACTGAACTAAATCTTTATTATAAAGTTCAGTGTTGTTAATTCGCACCCAGTGTCGCTTTCAGTAAATATATCATTTTGAAATAATTGAAAAAAGGTTTCTGTCTCAGTTAATGAAGATTTTGAGGCGAATGTGTGTTTATAGTAATCCAGTAAAATGATAAATAACTTCTGAACACAGTAAGGCACTGCTATTCACTTTCACTGTCCCCCTTTTATCATCAGCAAAAGTGGCAGTGATTTTAAGTTTATAGCTGGTTTGTTTCTGGTCTTTCTCTTAATAGCGATTAAACATAAAACTTATTTGTCCCATTTTCTACTTTTGATTAAGTCAGACTATATTTTTTCACTAAAATATGAAGCACAACTGTTGATAATAACCAGAAATGTTTGTTGAGCAGCAAAGCAGCATACTAGAATGATTTCTGAAGATCATGTGACACTGAAGACTGGAGTAATGATGCTGAAAATACAGCTTTGATCACAGAAATAAATTACAGTTTAACAGATAATCTCATAGAAAACAGTCGTTTGAAATTGTAATAATATTTCACAATTTTGCTGGTTTTACTGTATTTTTAATCCAATAAATGCAGCCTTGGTGAGCAGAAGAGACGTTGTCCCCTTTTGTTCACAACTTCTTTATTTTTTTTCTGTGTGAATTTGTTTAAATTCTTCATACTTTTCATAATAAATTCTTAATCTGTGTCAAGAGTGACTTGACTTGTGCTCACTCTCTCATAAGATGTTCACTATGTTTGACGTCATGTGATTGGCTGTTCACTACTACGCTTTCATGTGCATGTGCTCCATAGTTAATCAAGAACTCTGGATCAAAGCCCGAGTGAACAGAAAAAGTTGAAGCCTGCTTGGATTGGTTTGAAATCCTGTAACCCAGAGTTTGTTCAGCTAGCGTCTTGGTACAGGCCTCCAAGTCTTCCACATTTAGGCTTCAGACCGATAAACCAGAGGAATCCGCTTTGCTGTTAACGCTGAACTGTGTTTTTAACAGGATGTTTAGGACTGCGCACATGAAGACTTGCCTAAATCAGCTCAGACTGGTGTTGATGCTCAGAGACACTCGTATCCGGCATGAACGGACGATCTGCAGCCGTGCTTCTTTGAGACGAGATGATGTGCAGCGGTGGGAACAACACAGGCTCTTCTGCTCCAGCACCGCTCTAACACCTCCTCACATCCACTGCCCCGTTTCTAGACGATTCTCTCTAGTTCTGGACTCCTGCAAACGTGTATGTCCAAAGGCCACGATACAGATATGCATCAGCACTCATTTTCTATTAACACACATGAATTTTGGCTGTATTAAGTGGGTACACATACCAAATACTGTCTTGCTGTTTTTACGCACCTCGCCCTCACGAAGCCTCACTAATCGAAGGACAAAAGTGGAGGAATGCCAGAGTTCTCCTGAAAGCGGTATTAAAAGACAAACATGCTACTACGCCTTAAAACGGGGCATAAATAGCACGAGCAGCTTCCGTTGGTTGTGTAGCATTGGTCCAGGCCTGTGGAAGAGTCATTTTAAAGCTGTAGTGCAAACTCGCGGGCTGCACAGAAATGCACATCAGCGGACTGTGATGGACGAGTGTTTGTCTGCAGGGAACGAGGCTCGCTGCAAGCGCTCGCTGCAAGCCAACGCTGCTCTGTACGCTCGGGAAGAGAAGAGCTGGGCCGCGGTGCTGGTGTGTCTGTGTGCCGTGAGCGGGGATCCCGCGCTGCTCTTCACCCTCAGATCCGCCAAACTGAAGGGCAGACACAAAGGAGATGTCAGGTATGCATCACGTCCAGCGCTAAAGCTCCTCTGAGCTCATTCAAACACCCTTCTCATCCCTGTCGTGTTAGTTTCGCAGGGGGAAAGAAAGACCGGTCTGACAGAACTGTTGTAGACACGGCTCTCAGAGAAGCTTGTGAGGAGCTGGGAATCTACATCACTGAAGATAAAGTGTGGGGTGTGCTGAAACCCCTGCGTGATATGGTGAGTGTGCACTTTCATGTTAGCACAGCATTTGTGACCCTGGAGCACAAAACCAGTCATAAGGGTCAATTTTTGGAAATTGAGATGTATGCATCAGCTGAAAGCTGAATAAATAAGCTCTCCATTGATGTATGGTTTGTTAGGATAGGACAATATTTGGCTGAGATACAACTATTTGAAAATCTGGAATCTGAGGGTGCAAAAAAATCTAAATATTGAGAAAATCATCTTTAAAGTTGTTCAAATGAAGTTCTTAGCAATGCATATTACTAATCAAAAACTAAGTTTTGATATATTTACGGTAGGAAATTTACTAAATATCTTCATGGAACATGATCTTTACTTAATATCCTAATGATTTTTGGCATAAAGGAAAAATGTATAATTTTGACCCATACAATGTATTGCTGGCTATTGCTACAAATATACCCCAGCGACTTAACACTGCTTTTGTGCTCCAGGGTCACAAATGTGATGTTGAGTATAAAGTTTGGAAACTTAATCAAAATGATTAATATTTAAAATGCATGAGGTATTAGGCTGGAAACATACTTTTCTCAATCTGAAGTATGCGAACGCAGACAGAAGTGTTTAGCCAGCGCGCTGTGATTGATCATAATTCACGTGCTCTCTTGCATTGGTCTGTCGGTAATAAAACTCAGTGGAGCGATAGAGTCACATCCAGATGTTTCTGACATTAAACTGGATGTGTTATTATTCAGGTGAGTTATTATACTCGTATTAGAAAGATGTGGACTTCGAAGGCCGTAAAGGTCAAACTGAGCATTGTTAAATGGGACGATCAAGCCTATGGAGGATTGGTCTTGTTGACCGCACAGAATCTATTGGAAGAGAACTGAACTGGACGATAAACCAACTTTAACTGATAAACTGTCTGTTTTCTATTGTCCACATAGCACACGTTTGATGAGTCTCAGTCACACGTCACTAAACAGCGCTGTGAGATCCAGTGTGAAGCGCCTGAATTCAGCGAAGAACTCAAATGACTCGGTGATTTAAACTAGTTTAAAGTCAGATGAAACAGCGCTGACAAACAGCAGAAACACTGTGAGCAACGATACAGTCAGAAGACTTTTCAATCTACAAATCATTTACCATGCGATGTGCTCTGTGCACAAGCGTAGTGACGAACTTCCGCTGTCGCCAGAAGTCGGGATATCAGTTTCAGGTTTACTTCCGCTGTCACACATTTACTAGATGTCTCCAAGATCTGCCTAAAATAAGCATCAGTGATGTCCGTCAAACTCAAATGACTCGGTGATTTCTAAACAGCACTGACAAACAGCAGAAACACTGTGAGCAACGATACAGTCAGAAGACTTTTCAATCTACAAATCATTTACCATGCAATGTGCTCTGTGCACAAGCGTAGTGACGAACTTCGCCAGAAGTCGGGATATCAGTTTCAGGTTTACTTCCGCTGTCACACATTTACTAGATGTCTCCAAGATCTGCCTAAAATAAGCATCAGTGATGTCCGTCATATCGTTGATGTCTGGTCCCCTGCTCCAACAAGCAAGCAGAACAAGGGATTCAAACTCTACATATCGAGTTATCTGCACAAATACTAGTTTAATCTTCTGGCGACAGCGGAAACTACGTCGCTACGCTTGTGCACAGAGCCTTTTTACTGTAGTAACACTTAACCGCACCATGGTATTTTGGCAGAAATGTGGGATATGCATATCTAATTTTAATATATTATTAATGTAGACCTGTATTAAAGGAGTAACATAATAACAGTATTTTTTATGATTTAAGCTACAGCGTTTGTGCATTTATACTAAATGTATTTAGATTACCGTTTTTTTAATACAAATAGAAACCATATAGTTACATGTTTACCATGGCATCGAGGTGCTATATGTGTGGTTTTAACTGTGGTTATTATGATCTAAGTGTATGCTACTAGTGGTTAATTTTAATAAAACTCAAACAGTCAAAATAACTCAATTTCACCATATAAAAATTAGGTTATTACAATTTTTGCAGATGTTACCGTTTTTGATAATGAACATGAATTTGCATTGCATCCAAACTCAAGCTACTACTACTATCAGCTCAAGCTACTGTCAAATGTGCATTTCTAAGAGACAACATTAATTTATATTATTAATATTGCAGCCTGCACTGCAAACTGTGCTGAAGATACACGTCATCAAAGTCAGGAACACAAACCTGTTTCATGATTTGAAACGATATCACTCATTAGAACATAAACTAAGAAATGCACTTAAACTCCACCCCTGCAAGCTCACGCACATCTGCCACGCCCACATCTCAACAACCAATCAACAACAGCGTAGAACAAATTTTTTCTTTGTCGATAATCGTTGTCTTGTAATCTGTTTCACTGTGACTGTAAAGCTGGTACTGATGTAACCAGATGGAAATGGTAAGATGCATGGTTTTTCATGGGTATGAATGCTCATTTGACTCTAT